ACATATAGCTACAAATCAGGTTTGATTTATCGGATTTTTTCCGATATAACTGTCATTCTTCTGCATATTTATTGTTAGCTGGTGCTTGCGTACGGGCGTTGATTGCTATTGTGCAAAAAATCATGAAAAATTTTCCAGCCGGCAACATTACCGGCACAATGATTGCAAAAAGTTCATCCCACCCTGTAATGGCATCCCAATTGATCCGGATGCCGGATTGGATAAACAACTATTCTATCATCCTTAAAATGGTTAGCTATGAAATCCATGTACAGAATAGTAAAGGAAACATTTATCAGACCCTTGCAGTGCTGGACAAAAAAAATAACCCATAAGCGTGATGCTGAAAACCAGTTTCATCATCCCTGGGCTATTTTTTAAATAATAAATAAGCAGGTTTGCGGAGGTAGAAGGGCGTTTCCCACAAATTAAATTCAAGGGTTCTTATACCACCACAATACTTTCCAGGCCTTTGCTGAAAGCGGTTTCCTTGATACCCGCTATCTTCAGGCCTTCGGCTCTTACAATGGAAACATCTGCAATGCCCAGGAATCCGAGGATGAATCGCAGGTAGGGGCTAACAAAATCATAGGACTGCATGGCGCCTTCGGAATAAACACCGCTGGAAGCCGTGGCCACATACACTTTTTTATGCTTCAGGAGTCCTTCCGGCTGCCCTTTTTCATTGTACCGGAACGTAACACCGGGTTTAACAACATGGTCCAGGTAGGCTTTCAGGGTAGAGGGAATGGAAAAATTGTAGAAAGGAGCATCCATCACATAGGTATCTGCTTCCAGTAATTCGGCAATCGCTTCGTCGGATATCTTAACAGCATCTACCTGCTGCGGGGTGCGGTATTCGGCCGGGGTAAACCAGGCACCAATCTGTACCTGGTCCAGGTGGGGAAAAGCCTGGTTGACCAGGTTTCTTTCCCTAACGGTACTCCCCGGATATTTTGCCATTATCTTTTCAATGACCGCATTGCCAAGTTTTTTGGTCACGGAGCCGGCCCCCTGTGGGCTGGAGACGATATGCAGAATTTTTTTTGTCATGCTGTTTGTTTTTAGACCGCAAACCTATGTACATTTGCTAACCATAAGTTAGTAGTAAACCAAAGGTTAGTAGTAACCTTTTTATTAGTAGACAGCAAATGGGAACAGCAACACCTAAAAAATCAGCTTTTACCGAGGTACAATGCAGCAAACACCTGGCTGCCACGGAAGACGCGCTCTACGTTATCGGCGGAAAGTGGACCTTAAGGATCATCATTGCAGTGCTGAGCGGGCGTACCCGCTTCAATGATCTGCAACGCACCATCACCGGCATTTCTGCAAGGGTGCTGTCGGGCGAATTGAAAGATCTGGAAATGAATGGACTGATAAAAAGAGTGGTGCAGGCTGATCAAACGCCGGTCGTGGTAGAATATATTCCAACGGAATACAGCAAAACATTGAAAGATATTATTGCCACGCTGGCTGACTGGGGCGCGAAACATAAAAAAAAGATTACGGCCCGCGGCTGATACTGCAGTTACACATGTAAATCCCGGTCCATTCCTGTAAAAAGATAATCAAGGAAGCCACCTGGCTGTATAGTAGCCTCTTTTTGCATCCTGAACGAACATACACCTACCTGCGTATCAGCTTAAAAGCGATATCCCTGCCCTGCTTTTGCAGGATCGCCAGGTTTATCCAGGCAAAGGCGAATTGCTCCAGCGCAGCAAATTGCCGGTTGCCCCCAAAATCATAGCAGTTTGCAAAACCGAGATCCCCGGACAATTGAATGGCCACTGCTTTGCCCCTGGCACTGTCCCCCGCAACAGACATATCAAGCCCTTCGCCATTGTATATAGGATTGGCCAGGTTTTCAAATCCAGTGCTGTTGAAACATTTTACGATATCAGTGCAGTTACAATTGCCCAGAAGGGCTTCTGTGGTACTGCTGAAACCTGCCGGCAATGTGCCTACCCCATTCATGGTATCAATCATAATTTTACCTGAAACATCGCCCAGGCTTGCTGCCACCTCCATCACTGCTGCCGCAGGAACGCTGATAATGACAATGGAGGATTGCGCAACTGCTTGCGGCACCATCAAAAAGGAAAACCCCTGCTGTTCCGCCATTTCTTTTCCCTTAAAAGGAAGGCTGGGATCTTTTACCCCAAGCACTATCCGATGCCCTGCTTTGCGAAGGCCCAGGGCCAGGGTGCTGCCGATATTACCGGTGCCAATAATAGCGATGTCCATTTGTATAAAATTTTATGTTTTGATAAAATAATAAGAAAGCCCGAAGCCCAGGAGTTTATCTTCCCTTTGAATACCGGTAATTACGGTATTTTCCCTGGTAAATGAAAACAGCAGGGAAAAATTCAGTCCCCGGTATAAGGGTATATCCAGACCTGTATCCAGCTGTAGCCGGTAATTGCTGGCATGTTCAACAGCAGGTTGCCAGTATGCATCATAATACAGGTGGAAATGCCTGGACAATAAATAATTTGCGCCCGCCAGCTAGCAGGTTGCCTGCCAAGCTGTGATACGGCTGCTGCCATTATAATGCGGCTCATTATAAATAAGGCCCGCAAATCTTGTTTGTTCGTACACCGCGCTGGCCGATAATTTCAACTGGTGGTTACGGGTTTGGAGTATACGATAGGTAAGACCTGCACCGGCAAAATACCTAAGATCAATTTTCCTCCTGAAATTGCCAGCAATATACGCGATGGCAAAGGGATACAATTGCCGCTCCGGCTGGTAATACCACCAGTTCCTGCTGAAGACATCATTGTCTGCTTTTTTATTATAAACTGCCTGGTAAAGATGATTGTTCTGGCTCTTAAATACACATCTGTTACCAGAACGAAAAAGCAGGTCAATCTTTGTTTTTATATTCAATAATTCCACGTTGCCCTGCTGGTAATTACCGGTTACCGAGATCCGCAACTGGCATTTCGCGGTATCATTTTCATTCAGCTGTGCAATGCTTCGGTTCAGCAAAGTTAACAGCAGTAAAACGGCCAGATGCGTGGATTTCATCGCCTGTAATAATTTCATTTTTCCTGAAAAACAATCATCGTATGGCAATGGATTTACTTTGTTATTTGCCGGTAATCCTGCTGCCAGCTGAACTGTTATTGAAGACAGGATATCAATGAATTCCTGCGGCATGGTTACAAAAGGCAAATGCGAGGTGGGTAGTTCAAACACTTTCTTAAAACCGCCATGCGTTTTAATCATCTGCAACTGGAGGCTGTAGGGCACTACCCTATCCTTTGTAGTAGCGATATAATATTTTGGAACGGTTGCAAATCGTGCTGTTAATATCACTTTATCATTCAAGCCTTTTACAGGTTCGGCCCGGTGGTATTTCACCAACAGGTCTTTCATATAGGCGGGGCAGTCAGCGCAAATCCTATCGTGCACCACAGCTGATTTGATGGTGGCCAATGAATAGTCATTATTGAACTCCAATGCAGGCCCGACACTACTTGTGGTATCTTTTTTGGAAAGCGCGGTGACACTTTCTCCATTTTTAGATAGGTAGGCAGCTAGATAGACCAGTTTTCCTATTTTACCAGGCATGTTCTCGGCCACCTGTGATATGATGGCGCCTGCCATTGAATGGCCGACTAAAATTACTTTTCCCTTCTGCTGATTGACTGCTTAGTAACGGCTTTCACATAATCGTTCAGTCCTATTCCTGCACCAAAAGTATTATCTGCACCATGCGCGGGCAGTTCCCCCTGCTGCAGCCTTTTTTCAATAAAGCAAGCCAGGACCATCCATTGTTATTAACCCCCAGGCCTGCCGGTTCCTATGCAATGGATACGGTACAGGCTATTTTGAAAACACCACTGGAAGAAGGCCCCAGCCGTTTACTGTTTGAGAACAAGGTCAGGGAGTACCTGATCTTCCTGCTGGTGGAAGCGGCTAAGAAGGATGGACCGCAGGTTAAGCTGACGGCCAGGGAAAGGGAGATGCTAATAGCGGCCGGTCAGCGGATCCAGCAAACATTTAACCGTAAATTGCAGGTGGGTGAACTTAGCCGGCAGACCGGCATCAATTCCACCAAATTCAAGGAAGGTTTTAAGGAGGTCCACGGCAATACGGTGAAGCAGTTAAGCATTGCCGCGCGACTGCAGGAAGCGCGCCGCCTGTTGATGAAAACGGATCTCAGCACCAAACAGATCAAGGACATGGTCAGTTATGCGCATACCACCACTTTTATCAAGGCTTTCCGGGATTATTTCGGGTATACCCCCAACGAGTTCAGGAAGCAATGTGGGCGGTTATAAATGATCTGTATTTGATGAGAGGGTCAGGGCCTTCTATAGCGAAAATTATGAAAAACTGGTTCGCATCAAAACAAAATACGATCCGACTAATTTCTTCCGGGTGAACCAGAATATCAAACCAGGTCTTCCTGTTTTTAACCAGTACCCAAATTGAGGCAGTAACCAAATCGAGGCGCATTTATCATTAACCGGCAATATAATCAGCAGGTGAGGCCGTTAATTTCCCCAAACCTTGCTTCCTGATGCGAATTCCCCCTTCATCACTATTGGTATACAGATTGCAACCCCCTACATCAAATAGCAGGAAATCCTTCCCGGATAATTATTTTCTTTTCCATTCAATTAAAAAAAACAAATGAAAAATTTACTTTCCCTTTTATTGTTGTCCTCTATGTTCGGACAATTGCACGCGCAGAAAATCGAAGCTAAAGATGTGCCCGCACCTGTTACAGACGCGTTCAATACATCACATCCGGCTGTAAAGGATGCTGACTGGAAAAAAGACGGCAAGTATTATACTGTCGGCTATGATGTAAATAAATTAGACAATACGGTTACCTACGATATAAATGGTGCACTCATCAGCACCACAGAAGGCCTGCCTGTATTGAATCTTCCGAAATGTGTGGCAGATTATGTGCGTTTGAAATTTCCGCGCAATAAAATTAAAAAAGCTTCGAAGACAATCACTGCAGATAACACTGTTTCCTACACTGCAAAAGTAGACGATCAACATCTTCACTTTGATGTGGCCTGCAACCTGTTAAGTACCGAAAAAGCCGATTAAACTGCCTCCTTTTATATCAACAAAACGCTCTGCAGTGCAGGGCGTTTTTTTGTTAGTACCAGAAATTATCACGGGGTATCAAAATAAACAAGCAGTTCAAAGCCCCTTATTTGCCAGCACAACCGGTGCTGGTAAAAAATAGCAGCCGCCAGGGCAGAAAGCGCAGCAGCCCAACAGCGCTAACCATCCATTGTATTGCCTGCTGCATCACAGTAACTGGGGGACCTTAATTTTTTCCAGGTAGGGTGCCAGTGCATCTGTGCTGGGGAAGCTGCGCATGCCCTGTATTTTTTTATCTGCCAGGTGGTATTTGACTTCTGCATAGAATCCATCTAACTGTTAAAGGATAAACCATTCTATTGCCTTTTTTAATTCTGCTACCTGCACGCCCCGGTCACGGATGGCCTTCAATTGGTCGTTTTCGGTGAGCAGGTTGAATGCATAGAGGGTCATGCTGGAATGTTAGTTACAATATGCATTGTTGCAAACCACTAAAACCCGTTTCACTGCCCATAACTTTTGTAATAATAGGCCAATTGCACCAGTTTGATGCTGTCTCCATTGCAATGCGCTTTTGCTTTTTCATAATAAATGGCAGCGTCGGTGGCAAGGCCCTTGCTGTTAAACAGTTTGGCCGCCTGCACATAGACCAGGATATTGTCGGGGTCCATCTCTATCATTTTGTTCATAGCGGTTTCCATAGAAGCGCGGCCTTCTTTGTCATAGAGTGCCGGCAACATTGCCACATACATCAATGTCTGGTTTTTATTGAGCGCCACTGCTTTCCTGTAGTAGTTCAGCGCGCTGTCAAGCGACCCCATCCTGTGGCTCTTCTTATATTGCGCATACATCAGATTGGCAAAATTAAGCCATGACGGGAAGGATTCCGGCCTGAGGCGGATTGCGTTGCTGTACATCATCTTTGCACTATCCAATTTTTCTTCCTGTATATATACGATACCGAGGTTGTTATAGGTAAGCCAGGGAGACTGGATTTTATTCAAAGCCTGCACGAATAGTTTTTTGGCCGTAGCGGTATCCCTTTGCTTCATGTAAGACACCCCGTTCAAATGCAGGGCCAGCCCATCGTTATCCGCATCGTTGTCATTGAGCAGTGACTGGGTAAGCTGCCTGCATTCACTAAATTTGCTATTGTTTAAAAAATAGGTGGCGAGATTATATGGATCCATATACCGAAGGGCCGATTCTGCTACCGAGGTCAGCAGTCCATCCATGTCCTGGTAGCCCGCCGCCGACACGGAATAATCATCGATGGTAAACTGCATACTTAATACACTGTCTACCGACAGCACCTGCCCATTGGCATATTTAGAATTGCGGCTGCCAAAATACTGGAAAAGGGATTTCAGGTCACCGAACAGAGAATTACTGAAAGCGATATTGATTTCATCCACCCTGTTCTCCCAGCTGGGAATAATTATTTTATTGTCCCGGTACATCGAGGCACCACTCTGCTGAATCTCGTGGATTTTTTCCATGAAGAGGGCGGTGATGATTTCAGGGGTATACCCTTTTGCCTGCAGGGTGCCTGAAATCCGAAAGGGTTTTACGAGGAGTTGTTTACGGGACGCGTTTTTAATGAATACGATCAGCAGTGTGACAGACAATGCTATCAGCAGCAGGTTCACAAAAAGCTTTTTGATCATATCCAGCAGGACGACCATTTTTTCAAGTGGCGATTTGGCGGCAATACCGGGCATACCCATGGCGTAGCGTTTAGGTGAAGGAAAATTTCAGCAAGGCAGGACGCGGAGCTGCTTTATCAGAGGTTAACCAGTATATCCACTGTTAAGTTAATTAAAAACAGCTGTTCGCCACCAGTGATTTCACGGTATTTTTTGCCAATCCTGCATAACAATATTCCCGCAGGCAATCTATCGATATCCTACACCTACCGCCTGTATTCCTACAGCTTCGATTTTAAAAGCTTACTGCACTGAACGAAACTTTACAGGAGTAAATGAAACCTCCATGAGAAAAACGCTTATCACTGATGCCATCGCCGCGCTGTACATTTTTTTATTTGTTTATGCGGCTGCCAGTAAGATCCTGGATTACCAACAGTTCAGGGTCCAGCTGGGACAATCACCGCTGCTGACCAATTACGCGGCGGCTGTTGTTTGGTTGATACCAGCATTGGAAATCCTCATTGCCTGCGCATTGGCTACTTCCAGGTTTAGAAGAACAGGGCTTTGGGCGGCCCTGTTTCTCGTGTGTCTTTTTACCAATTATATCATTGCGATTACCCGGTTCAGTGACTATATCCCCTGTTCCTGCGGGGGTGTTCTTTCTCAAATGAGCTGGAACCAGCACCTGGCTTTCAATATAGGCTTTGTATTGCTGGCTATTATTGCCCTGCTACAGCCGGCAAAACAATTGCCATTCTCCCGACCATTACTACAGTCATAAAATACATTGTTGCAACAATGCAGGCGGGTTAAACCACCTGCCAACAGGCGCAGCCGAAAACCTGGAACAGAGTAGGCAATATTTCATCATTTAACTTTTCTTGCTTTTCAATGTAAAAGCCTGCTTCACCATGAAAAGGATAAAAATTATCATGACAGTAACATTCGGTCTCGCGATTGCAGCTGCTTATGCAGGCAAGTCAAATGCGAAAACCCTGTTTTTTTATTCAGAACAGCTGGTAAGTGGTTCCTGTCAGCAGGCCAACACCGGTTGTAACCTGAATGGCAATCGTGATTGTGCGGTAACGGCTTATAAAATACCCGCAGCGGGAGAAGCCCATTGTGATATTTTATTGACCAAACGTCCCTGATCCACGTGGAACCGGTCTTTGACCGGCTCCTTTTTAAAAATGCCACTCTTGAACTGTCACCAAAGAATAACACATCCCATCGCGGGCATTGCCTATTGTATAGTTGGTAGTACCATCATTATCGGGCTATTATTATTGCGCACCCGAAAGCAGCAAAAGGAATTCTTCACCAGGGTATTCCCACCCCATGTATTAACCATCACCGGCAAGCGTTACCTGCTGGCTTACAATTCCTTTTATATTGCAGGATTTACAGGCAGCCGCATTTACCTGGGCAATAATACTGCGCCTTCATTGCTAAAAACAATTGATCTTACCACTGGCCGTGTCACCGATAGCCAGATCAAATTCCCTGCAACAACCTCCACAGTCGGCGTAGACCATCATTATTTGATTGACTCTCCCATGATCGCCGTTATACAAGGCCTGCACCCGGCCGTATTCAGGGGAAGTTTGCCAGCGTATAAGCTTCCCCGTTTTTCGAGCCATTAAGAATTAGAGTTTTTTATTTTTTAGTAATTCTAGGGAAACGGATTAATAAATTCTATTGGGGGGATATTTCCCAAAGAATCATGGGGTCGTTCATGATTGTAATCCTGCTGCCATTCCTCGGCCATTATTCTCACTTCCTGCAGGGTGAAGAAGTGATAGGCATTTAGTAATTCTTTCTTAATGAGCCGTTATTGCGTTCTATAAAGCCGTTTTGCTTGGGCTTTCCAGGTTGTATAAATTGTAATAATATTTGTCGTTCTTCTCACCAATGTTCCAGCCTGACGAATGCTGAGTCTCTCTTCTATCAGTTCCTTTACCGCTTGCCGTTTATCGTCAGGCCGCCGAACTTTTTTTCGAGCACATTTTTGATAGCATCATTTTCCAAAGTAAGGTTAGCTACGATACGTTTTAAGCGACTATTTTCTTCTTCCAGGTCTTTTAATCGCTTTACTTCATTAGCTTCCATACCGCCATATTTGGCCTTCCAATTGTAAAAGGTGGCCTCACTGATACCATGCTCGCGGCCAGGTCTTTGACCAATTTACCAGCTTCCTGCTGTCTTAAAATGGAGATAATCTGTGTCTCCGTAAACCGTACTTTTTTCATAATTGTGCCATTTAAGTTAGAGAATTTTCTCTAACTCCTAATGGCCAACTTCCGGGGGAGCTTACAAGTCCCTTCTATAGGCTCAAAGCGCCTCTTTCCGATGACCGCTGGTGCTGCAGTTTGCCTTTATCAAGTTCCGGCTCCGGGAAAAGCTCCCTTTCAAGTCGCAGCAGTTGATCCAAAAAAACTTTACTGGAAAAAATCTTTTTACTCCATGAAAAATTTGTGACAAAAACGGCCAAGCAAATGCAGGAGGAGTGGCAGTCGCGGCACTTATAAGATTTGTATAAAATGATGCATTCACCGTCAGGCAATACCGCATTATCAGATACCCTATTCTACGCGAGCTGATTGAACACAGAAAGAATTACATCCGACTGACCGGCGTAGATGATGGCTCCCTTCAACCTTCACAACTTTCGCTTATTCCACCAGGAGACTTCATTGACATGTTCCGAAAGGATTATGAGGCGTACAATTTATCAGGCTAAAAAATAAACTGGTATTTCAGAAAATCAGTATTCTTGAATAATAATTGCCGGGGAAACATTTTAGTCCTGGTGGCAATGACCATATTTTTAGCTGACTAATCCGTCCCAGGGAAGTCAATCATTAAACGACACCCTTTGCCGGGAGAAGAAACAACCTGCATTTTTCCATTATACAATTGCGTACGGCTCTGGATGTTTGAAAGCCCGACACCTTCTCTTTGTACAGAAGTATCAAACCCCTGTCCATCATCTGTTATGTCTAATCTAATGAATTTACCTGCTGATGACAAAGCAACAGCGATATTATTGGCATTTGCATGTTTAATGATATTATTAAGTTGCTCCTGCACAATCCTGAAAATATTAAGCTTAAATTTATCATTCGTATTTGCTGCTTCAAAACCTTCTGTATCTACTGTTATTGAAAAATTGTGTGCCATCATTAAAGCTTCAGCAAGGCCACTGATGGCATCCTCCAAACTCATGAGCCGCAATGGGCTCACCAGGTTTTTAGATAATTTCCTAATCTCTTCTACGGCATCCAGAATAAAATCGGTGGATTTATTTATCAATTGACTTTTTTGTGGCTCTTCAGATTGCGTTGCAGTACAAAGGAACAACCTTGCTGCACCCAACACCTGATTCACATTATCGTGCAGTTCCCTTCCTATTTCAGCCCTTTCGTTTTCCTGGGCCGTAATGATTGCCCCGGTTAATTCCTGCTGCCGTGCATTTCGTTCATCCGCCAGCTTTCGCTCAAGTTCCAATTTCTCAGTCACATTCTGGGCAATAACCATCACAGCATCATCGGTGTTATAGCGGATACGATGAAGGCATATTTGCATATAGAATTGCTGACCATTTCCAAGCACATGCCGCCATACGCCTGCTGGCCCATCAGCCCCTCCCATCCTGATCTTAAGTAAATATTCTTTTAGTTTTTCCTGATCCTCTTCCAGCCGCCAGTCCAGTGCATTTTTTTGTAAGAATTCTTCCCTCGGATAGCCATACTGTTTGATAGCTGCCTCATTCACTTCCAGTATTCGGAGGTCATTTAGCCGTATAACATAAATTACCATTGGATTATCATGGAACAGGCGTCGATATTTTTCCTCTGCCTGCCGCTTATCAGTTGTATCTCTCAGTAATATGCAAAATCCCATTTGTTCCCCG